TCTCTAACAATTCCAATTGGTGCAATAGTATCTCTATTAGCAAGTTTAATAGTAACATCAATATCTTCTAACTCAACAGGTGCAATGTCATGCATAATTTCTTTGTATAAGTCAATAGGTATTGTACTAGCACTAGCACCCATATCACATAAGCCATGATAACAACGATATCCTATTTTAATAGAAATAACAGGCACGCCTACCACAGGTCTATGTTTATCTTTATCACAAGGTTTAGCAATTCTAGCAGTTTCACCTTTGAACTGAATAACATGCCCATCAATATTATTAGACAAGAGATCTTTAACAATAGCAATATTAGGTTCTACTTTAACTTGCTCAGGAGGTGTATAAGTTCTAATATTGCTTTTACGAACAACAGTTGAAGCTTTAGCATGATCCTTTATTCTAACAGGGAAAGGTGGTTTCTCAATATAAGAAGTAGGAACAATAGGATCATTATAAGTGACAGTCTTTTCTTCAACGTTAATAGGTGCAGCTACTTTTACTTCTATGGGAGGATGATATTTAAACCACTTCTGCTTAGGGAGATTAACATAAGTAGCAAAAGATTTACAGAAAGAAGCTACTATCTCAGATTCAAGTCCATATTTAATGCTAAACTTATGGAAAATATCGGTATCCATAAAGATTTAACACAATCAAACTTAGGTGTCATACCTGACTCCTTACCTTCATCGAGGTCCCAATCTTTAGAGTTGCATTTAATTCTATCCAATAAATTCCATCTAAGTTCAGTAGTCTTCATCATAAAAGAGCCAGCACAAGAAGTATCGAGCATGGTGCGATTGTTATCAGAAAGCCGTGCATATAGATTTTGAATAATCATTTCTCTTGAGAGCTTATGATTGGGGCATGAATATAACATTCATTTAAGCCTCCCCCAAGCTTGAGCGATGCTTTCTCCTTCGCGAGGCCAGAAATTATATATATAATTGCGATCACGATGAACAAGATGCATAGGGTAATACTTTCGATGAAATTCCAGCTTCAATCTTTTATAGTCCCATGATCTCATATCATCACATAGCCTATACCATATCAATGCGTCTCCCTTCAAAGATAAAGGGAAGACCTTCTTCTTAGCAACATCATCGGGTATACCTGCAAGCTTAAATAATCCATAAACTTCATCCACATATATTAAGTGCTCATCAGGATGCTTTGTTCCATCTCCTGTAAAAGGGTTAGCTAGCAAATTTTCCATTATACCCGAAGGAAATTCAAAAGGAGATTCATTTTTAATAGGTTCAGTAGGTTGAGGAGCAACTCTTTGCTCTACTGGACGGGGTGAAGATACCCCGAACAAGCCCCTTAGAGAATTACTTTCCATAGTAACAAGTGACAGTAAATTTCAGCATACTATATAAATTTTTCCTTACCAAATTCCACCTACCAAAGGCGCTACACTCCCCGACAATGGCGCCAGAAAAGAGTCTTGATGACCCACAAGTATAGGGGATCTATCATAGTCCTTTTGATAAGTAAGAGTGTCGAACCCAACGAGGAGCAGAAGGAAATGATAAGCGGTTTTTAGCAAGGTATTCTCTGCAAGTACTGAAATAAGTGGTAACAACATCAACTACAAGGAGTAATCAACACTACTAGCAACCTACTAGCACCAATCCCGGACTTTGAGACAAGAATTGGATACAAGAAATGAACTAGGGTTTGGAGATGAGATGGTGCTGGTGAAGATATTGATGGAGATTGCCCTCTCCCGATGAGAGGAGCGTTGGTGATGACGATGGTGATGATTTCCCCCTCCCGGAGGGAAGTATCCCCGGCAGAACAGCTCTTCCGGAGCTCTAGATTGGTTCCGCCAAGGTTCCGCCTCGTGGCGGCGGAGTCTCGTCCCAAAAAGTTCCTTCTTATTTTTTTCTCATCGAAAGACTTCATATAGGAGAAGATGGACGTCGGAGAGCCACCAGGGGGCCCATGAGGTAGGGGGCGCGTCCTAGGGGGGGGGCACCCCCACCCTCGTGCACAGGGTGTGGGCCCCCTGGCCTTCATCTTTGGTGAGGATTTTTCTTTATTTGTTTTAATATGTTCCGTGGAGTTTCAGGACTTTTGGAGTTGCGCAGAATAGGTCTCTAATATTTGCTCCTTTTCCAGCCCAGAATTCCAGCTGTCGGCATTCTCCCTCCTTATGTAAACCTTGTAAAATAAGAGAGAATAGCCATAAGTATTGTGACATAAAGTGAAATAACAATCCATAATGCAATAAATATCGATATAAAAGCATGATGCAAAATGGACGTATCATCCAGCCTCCACGGTGGCTTTGTCGCCTCTTCCGACCTCCGCTCGTATGGCTCTTCGTGATCCACTTTGGTACAGAACGATGAAGGAGGAATTTGAGGCATTGCAGCGCAATGCAACTTGGCAGCTTGTTCCCCGTCCCCGGCACGCCAACATCACTACCGGGAAGTGGGTGTTTAAGCACAAGTTTCACCCCAACGGCACACTCGATCGCTATAAAGCTCATTGGGTGGTCCGAGGCTTCCGACAGCGCGCTGGCATTGATTTCACGGATACATTCGCCCCGGTTGTCAAGCCCGGGATGATTCGCATTGTACTTCAGCTCGCAGTATCTCGCTCCTGGCCGGTGCACCAGATGGACGTTTCCAACGCATTCCTTCATGGTCATCTCGAGGAGCAGGTGTATTGTCAGCAGCCGACGGGATTCGTCGACGACACTCATCCGAAGCATGTCTGCCTGCTTTCCCGCTCCTTATATGGGCTCAAGCAAGCTCCCCGCGCTTGGTACCAGCGCATCGCAGCGTTCCTCTGTCAGCTCGACTTCCGCTCTACACGCTCCGATGCTTCGCTGTTCATATACCGACACGGTGATGCTACCGCCTACCTTCTGCTCTATGTCGACGATATCATCACGACATCGTGCTCTAGTGCTCTTCTTCGACAGCTTACCGATCGTCTTCGTGCTGAGTTTGCCATTAAGGACATGGGTCCTCTGCACTACTTCCTCGGCATCGAGGTTGCTCGCCATGCGGATGGCTTCTGTCTTCATCAGCGGAAGTATGCTCATGAGCTTCTTGATCGCGCTGGGATGCTTAATTGCAAACCCGCGCCTACACCTGTCGACATGAAGGCCAAGCTCTCTGCCACCGACGGCTCCCTTGCTCCGGATGCTTCGTTTTATCGGTCTATTGTGGGCGCTCTTCAGTATCTCACGCTGACCCGACCGGAGCTTCAATATGTTGTCCAGCAGGTCTGCTTACACATGCATGCTCCTCGTGATGCTCACTGGACCGCGGTCAAACGGGTTCTCCGTTACATCTGCGGCACCATGGATCTCGGCTTGACTCTTCATGCCTCGACTGCTACGGACATCACCGCCTACTCTGATGCTGACTGGGCCGGCTGCCCCGACACGCGACAGTCCACCTCGGGGTATTGTGTTTATCTTGGACCGTCCTTGATCTCTTGGTCGTCTAAACGGCAGCCCACTGTTTCTCGCTCTAGTGCCGAGGTCGAGTATCGAGCTGTGGCTAACGTTGTTGCCGAGTGCTCCTGGTTTCGCCAACTTCTTCATGAGCTCTCTTGTCCTGTCGACAAGGCCACGATTGTCTACTGCGACAATGTCTCCGCGGTTTACCTCTCTGCCAACCCGGTTCATCATCGTCGCACCAAACACATCGAGCTGGATATTCATTTTGTTCGGGAACAGGGAGCTCTTGGTCATGTTCGAGTTCTCCATGTCCCTACTTCCCAACAGTTTGCGGACATCATGGCCAAGGGGTTGCCTACGACCCCCTTTTGAGG